TGCCATTTGAATCCCGGGATTTGCTCTCTCAGCCACCACACAACTGGCCTGGGTGGGAACACAGGCCCTGCTGCCTCTTGACCGTGTCCAGCAGACTCTCCGAGAGAGTGTGGACTCCCACCCAGGGTCTCACACACATGCTCATGGTATTTAGGCTCTTTCTTCCATATTCACGGCAGCTCATAAAAGTGAAGAGCTCAGAGACACCAACTTGCTATGGCAAAGCTACACGTTCCGTTAGCGTGCACTTAATTTCAGATTTGAACGTTGGACAGTCCAAGGGAAACAACGACAAGGGCCCCGAAGTTTAAAAGTTTCAGTCAAAAGGCTGACTAGTTAAGTAGCCTTTATTTTAAAACATATTTTAAATATAGTAAGGGATGCATTCGAACAACTATTGATTTCACTTTTTAAAACTTTAGATAACTACTTATTTAAAAAAAAACAGAAAAAACTTGGGTCAGAGGCAAATTATGGCCTTAGAATTCAAGTTACAAAATAAATGTTGTTTTCCTACTTTGTGAATTTGGACAAGTTATTTACTGTCACTAAGCTGCTGTTTGCTCCACCTAGAAAGTGAGAAATTCTGTGTAAGAATTAGTTGGGAAAATGGGTAACTGTATTGGCATGAAATGGGTACACAGTCAGTGGAAGTACTTATTAAAACATAAGTCACTATTGTATTTTATTAATAGTTCCATTGTTTAGTATTAGGTTCCAGTACTAAATAACAAATATTTGTTTGTTTGTTTGTTTGTTTGTTTATCTATTTATTTATTTTGGGACTCAAGCTCTGGCTCTTGTGCTTGCCAGGCAGGTACTTGTGCTAGTGAGCTATGTGGCTTGCCCACGTGCTATAGAGAACTACTTCATTTACTTTATCTACTTCATTTACTATATCCACTAATTGATCAGAACTTAGAGCAAGGCTTGTGTTGATACTGGTGCCATCCTTGGAAGCTGAAAAGTGATGCAGGGCAACTCTGTGAAGCTCTGCCCTGAAGAATCTGGCAGCGCACTCATTCGCAACTTTGAACGGACAGTAGGCGATGCTGCCCACACATTCAGCTTTCACAGGTCACACACGAAAGGCAAATTTTCTCCCAGAATTTTATTTTGTGCAAATCTACCAAATATCCATGAAAGATAACCTGGTTGGAGAAAATGAACTTTAGAATGAGTCTATGTCAAACCAATTTATATTTTCCTGTCTTCTTATAGAGCAACACAATTGCAAAGTGATGCACGTCATGTGTGTTTAGTTTACGCATATATTATTTTATATTGTAGCCAACTTCAATTCTCCTCCCACATACCACTGGCACTGCTAGTGACAGCAGCAGAAATTTAAGAGGGAGGTAGCAGCTCTCTTGTGTAAGACACCCACTCTCATCTCTGTGAGCTCAGCTAAGTATTCAACAGAGTGATTGCTGGATAGTCCCTAATCTGTCTCTGCTAGCTCCACTTATTTTTGTAACTGTGTAATTTAATTATAATGTTATTTAGTTATAAGTATGTAATGAAAGATGAATTGCTACAAAAATAATTTGTGCTTTGGAAAGACACAAAAACTAAAAAAAAAAACAAAACTATGCATCCGTGAGTGCTCACACATGTACACACATTGTGTGAGTGTGTGTGTGTGTGTGTGTGTGCTGCATGTATGTTGTGTATAAAAAGTAGTCAAGTTTAGGCACAACTATGCTTTCAAAATTAGCAGAAAGATAAGATTTTTTGCTACACTCATTGCCTCACAACATTTATACTCATATCGGTGCTCAGATGTCCTGGAATTTTTATACTTTAAAATTTTGAGGCACAGTGTCACGGTGATAAGAGTAAAGGGGGATATAACACTTCCAACTAAAGAAGGTGTCTTCACTATATGTAATTGTTTATTCATAGTTTTTAAATATTTTTATTTTTTAAATTTTTTTCTCCATATTCTGTAGAGACTTAAAGTTTAACATATCAATACTAGATGGAAAATACCTGTTCCATGTTATGCCTAAGATGTTTGATATTCAGACAGATAGTGAGGTTAAACCCAACTGCATATGTTGTAGGGTAATAATACGCTTCTCTCCTGGAAGGTTAACAACCTAAGTTTGCAGATCAAAGATTAGAGAAAAAGAAGGGCTTCAAGGACAGCCCACATTTTGGCCTTAGCCTTTGAAGGTCAGTGAAGACTCAGGACATAGGAGAAGCTATACTGTAATATCATATAACTTAGCTATGTCCCAAATTTTCTGATCAAGGAGATTATGAGGCCACAGAGGAAAGTGATCGATGATGTAGAGTGTGCCTAAGGAGAGTCACATGGGGAGAAAACATGCTCTCAGGCTTTCATAGAGAGCAAAGTGGTCAAGCAATGGCCGTGACTCATCCACATGGCTGAGACTGACAAAGGATGTGCAAACTGCGGTACAGGGTTACAGGATAAATCCCGAGGGTACTTGACTGATTTATCAAATACAAAAGTTACATTTCTTGTTATATAGGTCTTGCTTTATCTTGGTCTTAACCATCCAGCAGAAAAGTATAAAAACGAGATATAAAAAGTAAAGCATATTAATTAATATGCTGAGCAGTGAAAGGCTCAAGTCAACAACTTCTGACATTTCCAGTTCTATGTGTAATCCACTACTATTATGGACTACTGGACTATATTGGATTATTTTGCTGAATTCATGCACCTACAAAATTTAAATGACAATGGAATACCCATATCTAACAAAATTGAACCAAAAAAACGGGGATACAAAGAAAGGACCATTTTGTATTTGCATGTACAAAATAATTAGGATAGATATACAGTTACTTTCTCTTAATTCAATGAGAAGAAAGATTTGTACTAATAGTATTTTGACAGGCTATCAGTCTGCATCTTGTACTATGACTAACCACTAAGAAGATAACAATATGCAATGTATTAATTATTGAAACTGTCCTAATAATCGGTTTTGAAATTGTGTCATTGCTGTTTTTCAACAAAATTAATAAAAAAAA